GCGGTGCCTGTGTTTGTGAATAAGCTTAGTTTCTTGATGCATGTCAGCCCCAGGCAATGCTGATATGCTCAGTTAAGATGAACCATGAAATAAGTAAAAATAGCAGAAAAAAAGGAAAAAGAAATGGAAAAGGTAATAAAATATTATCTAACAAAGAAGTATTTCATTTGACAATCCCTGTTAAGTAAAATATATATATATATATAATAGGCCTAAATACAATAATGCAGAGTGACTGGTGCAGTTTTAAGCCTGGCTAGCAGTTCCTCTTCCTCCCTGTCCTCCTCACGATTTCCCTCCCGAGTCCGGGCTGAGGGCTTGAGAGGCGACGCAGCTGGGAGCCTTGATTAGTCACCAGCCATGGGCGACTGGGGTTGCCCTGTGGTGATGCCCAGCCTTGCCATCTGTTGCTGGCATGATTCTGACTCCCATACCGCCATGCCGGTCACTGAGGGTTGAATGAATCTCACACAGAAAGGACGCCGTAACACATGCACAGTTATTCAGTTGCCGGTCAGTCAAACACTAGGGAGAGAAACTGTCGAGAGCTTCTGAGGACTCACAGTGATTTAGGATCAAAGCTTCCTTTCAGTCATAGTCAAGCAATGGTTTCCCTCTTCCCCGTTTTTCAATTATTCTATATAAATTATGGAGGAATGTATTACAACACATTCATGTAAAATTCGGTTGCGAAAGGCGCTATATAAAAATAAATGGAGTGGAATGTAGGCCCACCTCATAAGTGAATTTCCAAAAGAAGCTTTCCTATACTATGTATGTGATACAGGCCATCATGGGTACGGTTTGGCTATGGGCTCAGATAATTTACAGTGGAAATGCCAGTTCACACTGCGGCTCGGACATGGCTTGGTTCCTGGTGGCAGAGAAAAAGCGACATCGGTGACTCTGAACTGGCCCCAGCCTGTGAATTTATGTGTGCGTGTGCCCTAACCCGCCTACCTCTGCCCTGAGCTTCCCTGGAAAGGCTTCCTGTTTACTGCGACCTTGTACTGCATAAGCAGTACCGAAGAGAGGTGAACAGATAGTTAGCAGGAAGGCAGGTCACTGTCATCCTTATTAATGACAAAGGGCTCAGCTGTGTGACAAGCCGTTCCAGCTTTTGGTTGTATTTAGTTCCACTGTGAAGATCATCTTTGCATCTGTGCTGGAATGTGGAAGGACCAAGACCAACTTGACAATTCAAACTTGCTTTATCCTGTCAGCTATTAAAAATACACATGAAAGCCCAACTGTATTTCATCTGAAGTGTTTTAGTGTGTATTAAGGCGATAAAGTCAATATGTGTGTAGAAGGGGCCCAAGACAATTCCTACCTTATGCTTTAATAATACCATGTGTGCCCAAATGCTCTTAATGTCTTCTGTGGCTGGATGCTTCAGTTTTTTTCCCCTGCCAAGGATACACAAAAGGGATTCTTTTAAAATAGCTTTTTTTGTTAAAGATTTTTTTTTTCTTTGAAGAATGTCGTGTGCTTGGTGAAAGCAGTCATGTTTGTTAATTGAAGTGGTTCTTGTGTAATTGTGAACTAACAATATCATTTAGATGTAAATAGTTCCCTGAAAGAAGTCATTTATACTAACAGGCAATCAATTTAAAAATACTTTCCCTGCAGAGCCCTGATGTTTTCAGAGTAAGTGGTTAAAGATTGAAAACTCAGGGAATGTTACATAGTAGGAAATGGAGATCTATCAATAGACTACTGTCTCCATAGACCTTTCCAATCATAGTTACTTCTCATCAATATTTGAAGATGCACTCAAAGTTTGGGAATTCTTGTGAATTCTTCAAGTCCCACTTGAAGAATTCAGATAACTTGCCAGTGGTTCACACCATCTCCAAAATCCAGCTTTCAGAGCCATATTAATTGTCAGATGATCTTCTCTGAGGTTTCTGGGTACGCTCCAATCAAACACTGTGACCTCTGCATCAGATAACTAGTCATGGAAGATGGGTGGAGTGTGTTTTGATCATAGGTTTATTAAGTCAAACAGTGTCATATGACATTACAAGTCATAGGTAGTTCAATGTATAAATGATTCTGTATATCACACACCTTCATGACACCCGAATGGAACTGCATGCTGTGTTGACAGGGTGTTGCCTATGGTCAGATTGGCACAGTTTCTCCATGCTATAGTGTTCTACTGCAGCACCTTATTTGACTTTTTATAGATCAGATATATATCATTTAATCTGACAGCTTACAATTAATGCACTGCTTGACTCATATTGCCTTTGCCTAAACTGCATAAGCCTATTTGGTCTTTGATGGCTGGGTTGTTTGTCTCAAACACCCATGGTTACTTCTTAAAGTCAAGCTACAGATCGAGTGGAATCCTTGTGATTACTCCATTAGCCCCCTGTGACAAAATATGCCCCTCCTCAAAGATTCTTTCAGGCACTGTGTTACCACCTATGATCTGTGGTGAGCTGTAGTTGGACCCACCAATGATTATACCCATAATTCACCCTGTCTACCCACTGTCCATGGCACAGAGCATGAACAGTCGGGTGTTTCATACTGGTTAGTCTCATGTCACCCTTGGATACTTTAGGTCCTCTTTGAGTTGCATACGTTGGCTTCACAAAGTTACTGCTCCCAAGCTACGTTTGCATTCATCTTGGCTTCTTCATCCTTCCTAAGCATTCCCTTCCCCCCAAGCCACGGTCTGATCACCATCCACATTCTAACCACTTGTTAGCATCTGTTAGCGCCCTCTCTCCCGCTCCCCATTACAACAAACCATTCTCTTTGCTGGGACCTCACACATAAGACCAAAATGGAATGATTTCCATGGAGGCAATTATCTTCGCTGCGTTCCAATATAGATGATGGTCCGTATGTTGTCATTGAGGGGGGCCCTCTGAGCAGGGGATTATTGGATTGGGACTGGTAGGCTGTGAGCTGGAGAGACAAGCCTTTGAGAATTGAATGACACAGAGGAAGGTTCCCTGCTGTAGACATATGTCTTAAACAAGCATAAAGCAAAGGGGAGCTAATAGGCAAGTCATACAAATCTGGCCTAAAAATGAACTAAGTGTCTTGACCAAATTATCCACCTTCTTCTGAGTCCCACTTCTCCCTTATCCATCTTCCCCCTTTCAAAGAGGAATTCTATTAATAGCTCAGAAGAGCAAAGCGCCACAGTTGTTCAAGTCAGAGCTGTCAGCATTTGACGTCGATCTGCTCAGTTCACAGTTTTCTGCTCTGCCGCTCTGAAGACACATGTTCCGACCGCTTTCTGGAGAAGCTGTCGTGGCGACGACTCAAGTTAAAAGACCTGTTTAGCTCATTCTCTGTCACATAATATTTTTCACAGACATTATTTCATCTATAAATAATGAGAGGGGCAGTAAGACCCACAGGCCATTTCACAGATCCTGAGTTGTGTGTTGCCAGGACTGACGCACTGAGAAATAACAAACACATAAATTAAGACAATGGAGATGTAAGGAGGTACAAATTACCCCAGACAGGGTAGAAAACAGCTACTTGTTTGCCTAAGCACTGGATTAACTCAAGCGTAGCCTTGTGTTATGGACTTTGCTTCTGTACTGTTGCTTGGTTTCCTGGTTGGTTTCTGATTGGCCGCCATGGCGATGTCAGAGGCCACAGCAGTATGTCATACAGAGTGGTGGCCATGGCAGGAGTCTCTTTAAGTCACGGTGCATGTCAAATTTACTGGGAGGCTGGAAAAAGGCCTCAGCTGCAGGGAGAAGAGAAGGCCAACTGGAAACCACCCATGATTTTTGGCACCAGCACAAACAGAACTATTTAACATATGTGCCGCGTTATTGGATTAGCAAAACAATATGTAAGTCATTTCTCTATATATATACAGCACAAAGAACTATAAAATTAATATACTGACAATAATAAGAACCACAGTGATTTAATGGTTGGTCTGTATTTCATTCTTTCTACCTGGGTCCTGTGTGTGCACACACTGCTTTTGAATTGCACTGTCCATACTACCCACCCCACAAAGTGCTGACTATTATTATGCGCTGGGTATATAGTAATTCATTGAACGGCAGCTCCCCTACTGGTTGTAAGTAAGTGTTGCAAGTAGATCCTCCTCTGCTGCAGCACGGCTCAGCATGCAACACTCTCTCCCCACTGCTGTAATCCCTCTGGTGCCAGACAGGGCGGCAGAGAGGAGCATGTTGGGGGGGGGGGTGGATGAGCGAGGCCAGCGGGGTGATGAGACTGGGGAGATGAATCTGACTGTGACTCCCCCAACTGAGCAGGCTCTGCTAATAAGGCAAGCCCACATGAAAGAGTGCTGTCAACTCTCTGGAGCTTTTTGAAGGCGCGCATGGGAGGGTTTGCGTGATTGTGCACGACTGGGCGGCCACGTCACTCTTTCCCCTCTTCTCTGTGAAGCCCCAAGGGATCTGGGATGAGATGTGATCACCCCTTACCCTGTCAGTGAAAATCAGTCCCACGTTACCAAAGAAACTCCTTATACTTTGATTCCCTGTGGTCAAAAAGACACGACTCTCCAACGGGAACTCATCTGTCACGCTGAGGTATGACGGGAGTTTATTGGCAAAAAAAATCTCTAAAAAAAATACACATCTCAGTGAAAATTGTTGAGTTTGTCTATGGCTAAGATAATGACATAGCACACAACTCCATAAGTATTGCTGAGTGTGTCTATGGCTAAGATAATGACATAGCACACAACTCCGTAAGTTTTATGCAAATAGTTTATCTATAAAACCACTGAAGCAAAATAAGATTTTTGTGTTGCAGTTCTGCAATTGGAACTGATGTGCACCTGCAGTCCAAGCCACTTTTGTACTGTGGCTGTGAAAAATAATGAGAATAACTTGCAGATTGTCTCTTGAAACCCATAATTACTGTGGCAATCCAGTGGTTTATACCAAATAGGAGGAATTTTGTCAAAGCGCTTTTCAAATATGTGGATTTGGCGCCATCTTTCGGTGGATGTGAAACTGCAAAAATAGCTGAAGTACAAACACTGAACATTCAGTTTATTTTTCCATTTCCCAGAAAATAATTTCAGATATGCTTTATGCTTAATTTTGCTTCTTTAAAAAATGCCAGTGGGCTTTAAACTTCATTTTACAGAGTCCAGACATATATTTAGAAGTCAATGCAAGTGTAAAGTATTCACCCAGTAGAGGGTGCGCTGAAATCTGACCTCAGCTACTGCTGGCATGGAATTAAAAAGACCTATTTCTTCTTCAGCATAACTTCAAATATGCCTAGCTATAGTAATTTTTAAGACACATATACTTATAAAAGGGATGTGACTAGCAAAACAAAATAAAATCTTATGTGTGCAATTAATATATATAATAATGATATAAAATAAGTTAGTTATATTGGTTTAGTATTTTTATTGTTCCATCAACATATCATGTTTTATATACATTAAATGCGTCCTTAATAGATTATAGCACAGGCAGTCTGATGGTGGGGCGGGGCGGGGGGGGGAGTCTCCACTGACGTGTCCATTATTCTGTCCCTGCCAATAAGATAAGAGTGAGATGCCCACAGAGCTTGTGTGTGGGGGGGGGGGGCAATGGGAACCAATGCCAGCCAATAGGAGCCTCAGGGGAAAGTGGGGAGCAGGCTAAGCCATGTTGTTCAGCTTAGTCCATTCAAAGATGTCCTGCTCACAGACGATGTCCGAGTTGATGAGCAGGTAGCGGTCGCCCACGCAGAAGTGCTTCTGGCAAGCGGCACACTTGAAGCACTCCAGGTGGTAAACCTTATCCCGCACGCGCATGGTCATCTCGAAGGCCCGGATCCGCTTCTCACAGGACGCACACAGGCCGTCCTGCCCGAATAGCCTGAATGGGTGTAACAGGGGTGGGGTGGAGAGACAATTATATCTGATCTGCAGGGGAGCATTGGGGGGTGGTTTGTCACAGACGGCAGTAATTATCATTCGGTTCTAAGATAACACATGCCAAGAAGTGAAGAAGTGTTTTGCCTTCCAGACGATCTGGATCAATGGTGGTTTGTGAGGTTTATGTAAAAGATTCATAATTTGGCAATTTAGACTTTATTTTGTGCTCTGTGTCACCTGAAATAGGCTTCAGGTTCCCAATGACCCTGTACTAGGCAAGTAGGTGGAAGATGGATGGATTCATGCAGTATGCGCACACACATACACACACGCACACACACACACACGCACACACACACAGACCAGTACTCATATCTTTGTGGGGACTCTCCATTCATTTCTATGGGCATAACCATAATCCCAACAATGACAACCTTAACCCCCACCCAGCCCTAACCATAACTATTAGTAACCAAACAAAACACAATTGTATTTGCATTTTTAGTTTCTTGATTGCAGTCACGGATTTTTAGAAAATTTAGTGTTCCATTACAGGGACCAGGAAACTGGTCCCCTTAAGGTCAATAAATAGATATTCATCACATTTGGTACATTTGGTTCCCATAAGGTAAGGTATATCCAGACCACACACACACACACACACACACAAACCTACATCAGTTCCAACCCCATAACATTTGTGTAGCACAGTGACACCTGTGTTAGGGGTCCCACCTGAGGTAGTCTCTGCGGCACAGCTTCCTGCCAAGCTTGTAGTAGAGCCTGCGGCCCACCTCCCCCAGTCGGCAGCCGCACAGGTCGCAGCTCAGGCAGTCCTCATGCCAGTACTGCTCGATGGCCTTTAGGAAGAATCGGTCGCCAATGCTCTGCTGGCACCCACCACACGTCAGCAAGGAGGGCGGCATCTGAAGGACCTCGTCCACAGGCTCCCTGCCAGAATAAATAATTGCATATTTTTGGGGGTAGGCCATGCATATAGCTCATTTGGCCGCTAGTTGACTTTAAACTCGCTAAAGCTTATGTTTAAGGGCAACACCTCTGGTAATGACGGGACATTAACGCAGCGTATAACTCCAGCGCGCATTTACACCAAATTCACCGCAAGAGGGAGCCATTTCCTATTGAACAACTTCAACGAGAAAACAAACAAGGTTCACTACTGAACTGCAAAAATATTACTCTTAGCAGGGACGGAATAACTTAACTGGGGTCCCTATGCTCACATCAGCATGGACACTCAGGTATTGCCTATTAACTATCCGGTCTGTCAGACGAAGCACTGTTTTTTGCTGGGGCCCTAAGATAGCCATTAATCCGCCCCTAAGTGTTACAGAGAGAATAAATCTACTATATTCTTTAAACTCATACAGCCAACAGTCGTCTATTTTAAAGTTTCACACACGACTTTAGCAGATGCCATTCAACATCATACGAGTTAAAACAGCCTCTCCCAAACTCGAAAAACTTAATGTATTAGATGAAGACACCCAATAAATGTTAGTATCTCTGAAAACATATCAGATATTAAAGTGAAACTTTTAGTTAAGAGCGGCAGATGGGGTGTCCATTCAAGCCAGTTAATAAATTACAGTTTTATTTACGTGGCTGTTCCTACTTTCCCTGTCATACTTTCACGCCTCTCGATGATAAAGGCATTTTGAAAGTTTGCGGTGAACAGCACCATTAGCGACTTGGCCGAAACCTTATTCAGCAGGGTCCAGTAATACATACGTGTATAATTTAATACTCTGACGCATGGTTCTGAGAGCACTTGGGTAATCAAGAACGCAAAATAATTATTCATTATATTACTATCTAATTAATTCTAATATCTACTAAGGGGGAAAAAACTGGTGACGCTATTTAATGTGTATTACTTACTCAGTAGCCTCCAGGCTCTTCCTCTCAATGGCAGATGACATTTCCAGCAAGACGCTCCTGTACAGCAGCAACTGGGATGGCACCAAAGAGATGAACCAGCGGTGCCCCGTCTCACGCTTCAGCTCTCACTCTGCTCACTTTCGGGTTCAAATCCTGCCCGAACCGGACCCATACGCGGCAGAGTCCGGCAAAACGCTCGCTGCACCTGTTTCAGCGGCAATTCATAATACACATGGCCGCTGCGGGAACATAGCACTTACTCGGCTACCATCAGTTGCGGAGTTCCCGAGAAATATATAGGCTATATATTAAAGACGCGCTTGGGAAGCGATGCGCATCTCCAGCGGAAAATGCGCTATTCTTTTAGTGCCGGCTATTTCCTGGTGGTTTGTAGATGTCGCATTTAGTGACAGAATGATTTTTTCAGAGGTCCGAAATAGAGGCAGCGTTAATTATTTATAACGCGTCTCGCCCGGCAGAGTTACAAAGGATGCTCTATGGCAGCCGACGCGTTGCTCACTGAATCGCTCCCTCCTTGCGCCGTTTAATTTGAGGTGTGCTGCAGCCCTTAGTGCCGTGCAGTGGGTATTTTTAAAGAGCTGCCCCCTCCCTCCCTCTCTCCCCAGCCCCCGATCGACCCCCCCGGGTTTCTTGTTTCGTTTCCTCTTTCCTGCTCACGACTCCCCAACGAAGTGGCGTTTAAAGCGACAGCGACAGCTTGACTAACGGCCCCCCTGAGATACCCAAATCGTGACGGGTTATTCCGCGCCATATGTAAAGCTCCCTCATTTTGAATTTCCATGTGTCTTGTCAGTCGTTTTGTGGCCTTTTTCATGCGTATAGGTCAGTGCATCTAAAGGTGGCTGCATATAGGCTGTAATTTTTATAGATGAATAAATGGTGTTGAGCAGATGTTTGATACCCATTGCGTGTAACACATTCAACATAAAATATACATAGCATATAATTTACCTCTATCGCTTAAAATTGCTATGATCTGTTATTAAAGCGCTAAATGCAAATTAATTCTGCAGGACAAATATGCAAATGCAAGACTAGAAGTACTTCAATATCAGTCCTCTCGTTACACTACACTACTTTTATTTATTTAGCAAACATGATTACTTTATATTTACAAATGAGGGTCCCTCAAGCATTTAAAGCAAAGGGCCTTGCTCAAAGTCCCTGCGGTGAAATCACGCAGCCAGCCACGAGATTTGAAACAATGACCTTCCAACTACAGGGACAGATTCCTATCCTAAGATTATAAAAATGCAGGTTGCAAAATAATACAAAATACAATTGCCTTTTAGCTCACTGGTTCGTAATAACCTTAGCCTTCAGCTGAAGAGTTTGATCCAGGGAATCAGACATTCATTTTAAATTTGAACTTTAGTGTCATTGAATGGATACGAGTGCAGGTCTGTTTGTGTGTGTGTGTGTGTGTGTGTGTGCACTTCAGTATCACTTGAATGGAATTTTATCGTACTTATTGAAAATATGCATCAGGTGTTATCTATTTACTTACCAAAAATTAAATTTAAAACATGATTTTGTCCTATTCATGTCTAGAAAAAATTATGTTAATTTTCTACTGGTGCTCGTGTATTGTCCTAGTGCAGTTGACAATTGTTCAAACTTGGAAAAAAAATTAAAGCAAATAACTAAGACACTGATTTGTTTGCATTAAATTATTTTAATTTATAAATTCCTTCTGTTATAATGGACATCTGTGTCACAGAGGTGCCAAAGGCTTGGTTTGTGTTTGCATCTTATCACCAAGGTGCAGTGGTGCACTGGTGCCTCACACCTCTGGTGCCAGGATTCTAGTCTCCACTCTGGTTCCATGTGTGCGAAATGCGCATGTTCTCCCCATGTTGTCATGGGGTTTCCTCCAGGTACTTCGGTTTCCCCCCACAGTCCAAAAACATGATAAGGTGAATTGGATGAGTTGGCACCTCATCCTGAGTTGTTCCCTGCCTTGCGCCATTAGCTTCTAGGATAGACTCTGGACCCCCCATGACCCTGAATTAGACACGTGGGTGCAGAAAATGGGGGGATTGCTGGACAGACATTACCACTAGAAAGAATGTATTTTCAGATAATACTTAACTGTGTTCTGCGTTGGGTGTTCCTGACATTTGAAGGCTTGTACCTACAGCCATGTACCTGATATATGGTAGCTAAGCTGGTTTCAGGAAAGACCCTTTTGCTGTTCCACTTTATACCCCCACACAGTTAAGTCAGACTCTATTGCAAGCTATCCAGCCTCTTATAGTTTTGACTGATCACTGCAGCACCTGGTTAGAGGATTATTCTACATCTACATCGTATTTAACATCTCTCAGGTGGATGGTGCAAAACGTAAGACTAAAGAGAACTGTAAAGCAACCAGTTACATAACCTTGGTTGTGTTCTGTTTAAATTTTCCTTAAAATCTGTTAAATTTGTTGTCAACCATTTTCTATACACTACACATCTGAAGTAAAACACCAGATGGATTGGGTGACCCATCATAGTGTCAGAAATGAAGAGTTCTTTACGAGAAAGTGGATTTAGTTGTAACCTAGAAGCCAAGGGTAAGACTCTTCCGATTGCACTTGATCCCCCTCCTTGTATACCACCCGGACGGTCGTTCCCGGATAGGGAGAGATTCTCTTATCACTGGCCAGAGCTGCTGTATTCCCTGATCTACTCAGTGTCACACAGCCTGCAGTTGGACTGGGCAGCAAGATAAACCCCCCAGGGCTATGAAGGCAGGCTGTGCAGGCCCCAGGGTCTGGCTCACACCCCTGGGAGTCACACGCATGGCAAACAGAGGCAAAAACTCTTTATCTGCCTTTGCTAGAAAAACAACAGCAAGTAACGGGGCTGTTCAGTGGAATCACTGCAGAAAGACGACAGGCACATCGCTTGGTTTTATTAGTCACCCCCAATTGTTTTGGAACAATAGTGAGGCGGGTATGTATGAACACAGAAAAATGCTTATGTAAAAACTGTCTTTTTAAATTAACTAGAATTGTGATGCTAGTTCAGATTGAGGTTGCAATTTAATTTTCAGTGTGAGCTTAACTAAAAATTTTGGGCAAATGTATTTTTAGAAGCTTAATTATTGTTATCTAGACAGGCACAAGTCTAGATGACATACGTGTGTTGTTTTTATTGCATTTGACTGCCAGAAACTGCAAACATTTGAAATGTTAATATGCGGAGGAACAACCAGTTTATCAGTGCCTCATGGCATTGCCCTGAAGAGAAATGTGTCACTTTCACTGTCCACAGTTTCCTGAGGATTGGACAGGACCAGGACTACAGATGAACAGGAAATAAACTGATGAAGCTGGCAAAAGGTTCAACTGCCGCTGTGCCTTCCTGACTTCCTGCCTGCTGAACTACGCCATCCTGCTGGGTTGCTGATTGGCTGACTGGTTCCAGATGGCTCCAGCTGATAGGAGCAGGGGAGCATGGTGGAGAGAGCTCAAGGCCTTCCATTACAGTCTGCTGGGCTCGCAGAGAGGAGGCACGCCCCCCCCTTTCCATATCCAAAACAAGAACTGTATGATTTCAAAAGCCAATTTCAGCAAGACAAGCGTTGAATGGAAACAGATACTTAATTCTGGTTTATTAAATTGTAGTTTATTGCAGACAGATTTTATTATAGCCTATTTTACCATTCATAATGACATTTTCATTCAGAGACATGCCTATAGTCTCAATGATAGAGCAGAGTAACCATTATACCATAGAGTTGCAGATATACAAGGTTAAATTATACACTGGTGTGCCATACTTCCGCTGGTAGCCTAGGAGACAAGTCATGATAAACTTATTTATTTAACAGACGCTTTCGTCTGAAGAGACATACATTTGACGACATACATCACAGGCCAAACAATGAAATCACTCTACCAACCAAAGGATTTGAACTGGCAACCTTCCAATCATAGGCGTAGCATCCTGAACCACTGAGCCACACAGCACGTTGACGTATTTATGCCTGTGATGAATTTTGATATTTTTCTCCCTCTTACCGAAACAAATCTTTCCCGTCCCAGTTATATGGAAGGCAGAGGGTACAAGGTCTTGTGGAAAATAGCTGAAGTTAAAAAAACACAAGGGTCAGGACTCTTCCATCTCTGTTGTCAGCCCGGACGGCTGTTTCCTCCTCTTCCTGTGAGTTGTGCATTTAAAAATTCAAGTCAAAGTTTCTTCCCACTTCTCCCTTCCCTATAAAAGTTTAATTTCATCCATTTTTACTGAGGGCAGTTTCCCACATCTTTGTTTATTAACTTTAGCCAGCTTATTGTTCGCCATGCCGTGGAATGTCCGGCCACGTGTTTCCGCAAACAAGAATGAAAGTACAGGCCCCATAGTGAGAACTACATTGCATTTACTAAGGTACACCAGATGGATATCTTTTTCTCTAATAAGAGCTGTATGGTCCCATACCACATTAGCGCAATCATTCGTCAATGGCAGACTTAGCCCGTAGATCCATTTCCTGCTGGGAGAGGACCTGAATGCTCTTCCAGCTTACTGATAGAGGACTTTCTGGGACAGCATTAGCAAAATGACTGCTTCCTGTATAATCAGTACTAAAATAGCAATTGGCTCTGTTTTCAAGGTAGTATGCCTGAACATATTTACAGCACAAATTCCCCGGAGATCCAGCATTTTTATTATAGGCCTATTTGCAGAGAATATAGAAAAGATACAATCTTAAGTCACAAGGACACATGGCCATGAATTCTTTAAAATTTGATTTGGCTCCAAAAGAATGATTAAAGGAAAATGGGTCTCTCCGTGACTGTTTTCAGATGGAGACCAGCTCTGTTGACTAATGGAAATAAAAAGGTTGCGGAAATGAGTCACTTGTTGAAAGGGAACTTCACTCCCTTACAGGGCCTTCCCCAAATCAGTATTATCCCACTAGGAAAACACCTTTTCAATAGCAGAGAGCAATCAAAGGTTTGGGGTGCCATGTTAAATGCTTCCTGCATTTGCCAAGTTGGGTTTTTGGTAAGACAATTGCGTGAAAGTGATCTATATTCACTTAGAACATTGTTTTCTTTTTTACACTGAATGTGGTTCTGGTCTACAACACACAACAACTAACTGACCTCCTTGCTTCATTTAGCCTGTACATATAGTCTAGGGTATTAGGTTATTTTCATAAACATGTAATTACAATTATCCCTGTATATCTTTACATGGGTGTATTTTACAGTGCATATAAGAAACACACAAACACTTAATTCTGTTTTCTGTTTATTCATTTTTGCATAATACTATACACATTAACGTGTACTAATTTTCTCCCGGCGGTAAAATGCAAAGTGTAATTCCACAAACCAAATGAAAAAAAAATACTGTGAATATTGTCTTGTTACACACGCGTGTAAATAAATTTACGATTTTACATTTGTCGTTTTTGGATTGACAAATAAGCTAGATATGTTCCTAGGAGTATTTTATTTAACACTATTCTGGATCATCGTGGGTTTCATAACACTGCTGCGTTCCCATTACCAGACTTAACGCTATGAATCCAGCCAATTAAGCAGACGTTTACTGCCACCTTCTGGGGTAAATGTTAAGCCACTCTAGTGCAGTTTATGTTTTATGTAGTAATGAAGTTTTACTTCATACATACACATGCATAGCCTTAAGCGGTGATGTGCAGTCTCAGAGACCACCACGATAAATGCAAAAATGTTGAACCCTAAGACTAAAATCGCCTTTTAAAACTTTTCAAAGGAGCTCAGGCTAAATGCTACTTTTTCCACAACCGTAGCTGCATAACTTTGTAATCATTAACTGTTTTACAACATTGTTGCAATTAGCGCAGAAATTAGTATTCTGTCTTTAAATGAAATATTATTAGTGTTTACTAATATTGATTGTCATGCTTCTCGAACGAGTTCGTCCAAACCACGTGCTGAATGCATAAGCCAATTTTCCTTATCTACACAAATAAAGGATATGTAATAACCATAACAATCATTTCCTTTATACACGGTCAATGGCATGGAATCCATTAATTTCTCTTCACATGTTATTCGTTGCTAGGCGTCATTAAAGCTTCATGCGCATTACGTGCAAGTAAAACGAAACGCGCGGACTTCTGCGCAACATCGTCAAATAGCACTCATGTATAATTTATCCAACAATAACGACTGGGAACTAATTGCTCTACATTTATAACATTCGCTTTCTCTCAAGTTTGTACATGTTTCAAATGTATTACAATGCAACATCTACGAGAAAATGACAATAAAACTCCAGCTTTGAGCCCTAGCTAGTCAGCTGGCTAAAATAGAAAATCATATCAAAGCGAATCATTGGGATGTTCACTACATTTCCAGTTTTGGAAGTTCGTGTCGTTTGGCATGAAACCTTGTTTTTAGATGGCTTATTAGTTTGCAGTCTTATCTGTCTTTTTTTGTAAGACACAAATAAATCTCAGCTCCTCTCATGTAAGATTTGATAGTTGTGTTTACTTTCCTGTGCATAGGCAAATCTGAGACAGCTATGAAGAGGTCCTTCCTCCATATAAAGTGTTACTTCTACTGTTAGTCTCTCTCAGTTGTCGGTGAGGCCGGCGGGGCGGATCCCACATAAATTTAGGAAACAAGAACATAAAGCGACACAAAAGCTTAGGCAAATTTAAATTAAATACTATCAGTCTTCTCCCCTGTGGACATACATAGTTTAAAAGGTAAGCGAATACGCTGAACTCACCACCAGTACTACACAGGTAGGCTGAGGTAACGTTAGCTAATTAGTTCGATGGCTAATTAGCTACCGAGCCACTGCAGTGAAACCAAAACCCCCATTTTGATGTCGCGATTTTTCATCTTAAACGAAGGACTATAATTAACAATTAAACTAACATTTAACTTTCAGAAGGACACAAATCCGACTAATCGTCCCTTAACAGACGGTTAGCAGGCTGCAAAAGTGGGTAGGTAATGCTAACAGGGTGAAAGTAAGCAGACGAATGAACTAGAATAAGTGGGTCTTAAGTGAACGGGGGTTGGGGAAGCTTTATTAAGTGAGTTTTCTCACAATGCCTGATACCTGGCGAGCAGGAAATGGGAAACGTTTAGGAAAAAATTCAGGGTTATTTCACTTGCTCTCTATAAACTTTAGCTAAATAGCTAACTACTATTTTCGCCATCGGAGCGGCCCACTCAGACTTACTGGTTACTCCTTTGGTGTCATTATATTTTATTGGTTACCATAGTTTATATTATCCAGAATACATTGGCCTTCCTTTTTGATTGCAAGGATTTTACTGGGGAAACTCGAGCGGAATATTGCATCATGATGTGTTTGCTAGACCCTGGTTCTCACTTTCTAGTAGAGTCATTGTGGGGCAGAAAAGGGATTGATCTTTTTGCCTTGTTTCCGACTTGGTTGCGGCATTGCTGCTCAAGGGGCTCTTTGTTATGTTTCCAGTGCCTAGGTTGTCTGTGGAGCGCGGTGGTTCTGTCTGCAGCTGTCACTGTCATAGGCCCTCTTTCATTCAACTATATCTGGCTTGTAAAGAAAGCCCAACCTGAATAATCATTAATGTGCGGGATTTATAAACAACAACATGCTCAAGACGAGAACTTGTCATAGTTGTTTGGTAATCTATGCCTGGTAAGACGTTTAGCGACCTCCGTGATGTCCTGCCGGACGGGCCTCTGAGCTTTCTAGAACGTGTGAATCGGTGCCCAGTGCTGCATCTGCTTTTCTGTGCATTGTCGATGCCAGAAGTTTCCGACACAATTGTTCATGATGCCGATCCGTTTTCACGCTCACCTAAACCACAGATGCCCTCAGCGACTATTGGCAACCGGGCTGTACAGTCCTCCAGTCCAGAGGTGGGGTCCGCTCCTGGATCGATGGGCCAGCTCACCATGACCGCTCAGTATTCCGAAGCCCACACAGAGGCTATGAAGCAAGTGCTGGGTGTCATCGACAAGAAAGTCCGCAACATGGAAAAGAAGAAGGTAACAGGCCTTTCGGGTCTTATCACCACATAAATTGTCCTCTTTAGAGCTGGTAATTTGGGGAAATATTGGGAGTTAAAAACTTTGGTATCCATCTGTGCTGTGAGGAAATTAATAATAAATTTAAGGATGGTCACGAACTGCTGATCACTTTTTGGGGCGCAGCTGCTTATCCTCCTCTTGGCACAATGAATTCTTCAGGGTCAATTTTAAATGCTGTAATCCTTCTAACTGCGTGGTAAGCAGAAGTCAGTCTGAAGAGTTGTGCTAAGTGTTAATTTTAGGAAGTTTGTTTCCTTTGCAAACGACGTAGTGAAATACACAAAGCTGTCTGATATTTAGCCTTCTCGTCAGGGAAATAGATTTCAGCTCAGTGCCGGATGTCTGACAACGAAAGTTGACTATTCAAAGTGCAAGCCTGATAATTGACATGTTGAAGGATAAATTGCCTTTATTCAGATCTTCGGTACTAGTTGTATATGCAAGAGAAATGATGTCGGTTGTGAAATAACAGATCCTTGGTAATTAGGCCCACAAGTTGTTTAATTTGTAAATATTTGGTATTTTCTAATGGAAATAACGAGGCATCTGAAGAGGAAGGCTAGGCTTGCAGATGAGTAATATGTTTATCGAGAGATGAAGTGGTAATGAGATATTTGCAAAATTACGGGACGTTTGGCTGGCCAGCAATGCTGTTTATTGTTATGGCTGTCAGGTTGCGCTCGTGAAAACCGGCTTTAAACGAGCTGGGTCAAAGTTTTATAGCTTCAGGCCACCTTTAGTATTCGGCTTTCAAGTTTATTTTTTCAAAATAACTTGAATTTATCTGCATTTGAACAAGTTTGTTAGTCGAGTTCTCGTTAGCATTGAGTCAGTTCTATCAACACGATTTGTGTATGCGTTTGACGAAGTGATCTTTGGTAGCTCCGTTTCATACGCATGGTTTAAGAAAGGCCGAATTTCCACTATTAATGCAGTACTTCTGCATCTCCCGGTGGAATATGTGGGCTAAGCATTGTCGCGACTTGTGGACGGCAGACATGGTTTGCAGCTAATATGGCGGCCATGGCGAATATCAGCTCGGGACTGAAGGCGGCCTGTCTGGTTCAGAGCACATTGCAGAACACCGGCGCGTAGCTGACCGCCGTCCTCGGTCCCGTCGCTTTCTCCGGTTCTGCCGAAGTTGTTGCAGAATGATTTTCCGTTTTGGCCAAATGTTGGTCTGTGACGAGCAACGGCAGCTGTGCGCCTGGACTTTCTTGGAAATGTGGATCACCACGCGTTTCCTTGTTACCTCAAAATAGAGCGCAACAGTCTGCCCGCTGCTCGTATAAACTTAGGTGTATTTGGGGCATAAATTAAAGCATCGGGGACGTGGTAGAGCTTGCTTTGCATGTCATTTTGTGCGGATGTACAATGCGGTCTCTAAAGAGACACACTTGCAAAACTGTTTCCTTGTGTCATTTCTTGTGCGGTGATCTTTGCCGGTTTTTAAGTCCCGCAGTTTTTCAGGGAAGTTGTATTGCATTACATGGACTATGTCGCCCGCTCCCTACATAAGCAGATGTCTTTCCTCCGTGGTTTCATGAATGCAGGCTTGCATGTGATTTAGTGGCCCACTTAAATTTTTATGCTGTTAATTAATTGTGTAGTAAACTTCATGGTCATATTGTGTTTTGTGATGAGGCTTCTTGGTCTTGAGTTTGTGAGATGTTGATAAGGATCCTTTGGAAAAATGAGTGCTGAGAGACCCTCAGGGTACACAATGAACATGGTGACTTCAAATATATTATCCCTGACTACCTGTTGCTGTTTAGTCCCAGATTCTGTAATAGACTGCATACATTCAGATATTTGAATTTTGCGGTTTGATTTGTATTGGCTAATAAGCTGGTACTTGACATCGGGGCTTCTAGCAAAAGGAAACATTTTGCAAAAGACAATTTCTATGTAGGGTAAACTGGGCATGTTGCAGTTTTGCTAAAGAGATTCACGATTTTTACTGCAGGGCAAGCTGGACGACTATCAAGCAAAGAAGAACAAGGGAGAACGTCTGAACCACGATCAATTGGTAAATGTTATGGTTTTGCGCTTTTGGAAAGCAGATTGATTATTTAATGTGGCCTTCACTTTGTTGGGGCTAAAGGCAGATTTGCAGTAATACTGTATATTCTGCTCCATGCTCTTTTGAAGGAAGCCTTGTCAAAGTTCCAGGAAGTGGCGAATAACCTAGAGTTTGCTCGGGAGTTGCAGAAGAGCTTCCTGACGCTTGGTCAAGATGTAAGTAAATGTTCTGAAGGGGTTGTCTCTGCTTTTTCTGTGTGTACGTAATGTTATGTTGCTGAATCAGTTTCCCCCCTTAGTATACTGTTGAAGTGGATCCTGATTTTCCATCTCAGCTTTTCTAAATCTACATTTCTCTTTTGGGATGATGTGATAGCATAATTTCAGAACCTTGCTTTATGGTCGGACCTTTTACTGCCTTGTAAGGATGACTCATTTGGCACAGTGTCCTCTTGCCCCATGGCTGTAACTTGACCCACACAGATCCAGAAAGCGGTGAAGAAGGCAGCACGCCGGGAACAGCTGCAGCGTGAAGAGGCTGAACAGAAGAGGCTTAAGGCCCTGCTGGAGCTGCAGTTCATTCTGGACAAGCTGGGCGACGAAAATGTGCGGCAGGAGCTGAAGCAGGTTTCCCTGCTTGTGGACGAGGACCTCACTGCCATAGACGAGTTCTACAAGCTAGTGGGGCCAGAACGAAACCAAAATGTCCGGTGAGGCTCGTGTCTGCATGGAACCAGTGGGTGAACATTACTGAGGGTCAGGTGTCCTCATATTTCTGGTAAATATTTCTGCAGTCGACTCAATCTGAAGATTAAGCTGTAGGGATTCCAGTTTCTTCCATGAAATGTAAATCTGGTCTGCACTGATTTCTCAGTATATTCTTATGTAGTGTGTTGCATAACCTGAACCAAGGCTGATTAAAAACAAGTGGTGTGTTCAAATTGCAGGAGGAGCTAGGCGGTACCAAAGGTAGCCCAGATAAAATCTCGATTAGCTGGTGAACTGCAGAACAGCTCTCCTAACTTGACGTGCAGATATTCTTGGACACAAATGGCAAACTAATACATGCATGAACTCTGGCTGGCTAGTTAGCATCTTATCTGTACTCTCTGCCAAAGAATTGTAAGTCCTTGTATAGAGGCTGAGTAATAAGGCCTAGAGACTGGTTTGAGACTTCAAATGATATACTGTAAGTTCTGCCCATCGATTAATGATGCAGCATTTAATAAAGTAATGTGGTGTCAACGGCCCAATAACACTCTGGTCTTGAATGTTCATGGTGTGATGCTTTTGTGGACTGGTCACACCCCCCCCCCTCCAAACTGCCAGTTAAAGTTCAATGATTTTTTTTTTTTCCCTTTGGGTGGTTGTGACTTTGCAGAAAGGAGAGACAAACTACTCAAGCATGTCATGTCTTCTTGCAGGCTGGTGGACCAGTATGAACAGGCATCTCAGCACTTCTGGGAGCTGCTGGAGGGCAGAGACAAGGCAGTGGTTGGTACCACATGTAAGTAGTCATTTTCTTTGGCATTTTGTCATCGTCTTGCATATATTGATTTCGTTGTTCTCTGGAATGTTCTGAAATTTTTATTGCTCTGCCTGTGAAGGTGGGCCTTGCACAGTATGGCAACTTTCCGGTGCGATCTCCCTAGTAGGAGATTTACTGGAGGTGTTTGACGCACAGTGTAGCACTACTTGTGACCGAACGACCCTAAATGACTTCAGTAAAAAAAAAAAAAAAAAAAAACCTGCTAAGCTCGTCAAGCTATGTTGCATACAGTCTGCTCTCAGCCCCGTCCAAAAGGGCAGGCCTGTCCGCCATCTTTAATAATAATAATAATCTTTGGAGGCCCTCCTCACAGGCTGTATAGCTGAAATGGGGATTGGTGTGGTGAACCCTCAAGCTGGGGGCGACAGAGTACTGCTGCGATCTGCCGCTGGGCTGAATGCTGACGGGCCGCTTCCTGACTCAGCAGCAGGGCATTCTGCCAGTTTCCTGCCTTAGGTGGCCAGCCCAGAGAGCCTGTTCTCTGGGGACTGCCAGTGCAGCGCTCTGGAATGTTGTGGGCGACGGCAGCCAGGCTGGGAGCTGCCAGCTGGGCCCAGGCTGCATGCCCCCCCTCCCCAGCCTACATGGCATACACCTATTCACATTCCAGAGGCGCCTTGGCAGGTGCTTGTGTGACAAGGTGGCCCAGTCAGAATATAAATATGTACTGTCAAACTGGTTCTGGTGGTGGAGCAGTCTGACACTTGGGCACTACTTGTAGGTGTTGCTTGTTGGCCCACAAACGTGAATACAGCTGAGCAGCAAGTCGCGTCTGGATTTCTGAATTTGATTCATTCTGCCTTTCTTGGATTTGAAGCATTACACCTGTTCCTGGCTTTTTGCAGAACTGAGGGCCACTTTATGATTAACTGGATTCCTGACAATTTCCTTTTTGTCATTTGCTTTGTCAGGGAATTATGGGGGAACCTATACAAACCCAGGAAAAGGGAAGGGGAACCCACTGGCATTTATAAATAGCAGTGTCAGTGTTGAACCTAAATACAAGTGAATTTTACAATCCATAGACCTCAGTCAGATGCTGTCTTTTGGTGACAAAGATCTTTCCAGAAGCATGCGTGGCACTACAAGCCACCAGTCCAGTCTATGTTGAGTCTTGTTGATTGGCTGTGGAGTTGCACCTCAGGCTGTCATTGGTAATGCCTGTGCGGACCTCATGGTTTATGCTGGTCTGTTTGCAGACAAAGCACTGAAGGACACCCTTGACAAGCTTCTGCTGAGCGGCTACTTTGACAAAGCTCATGACCACCAGAACGGCCTATGCGAAGAGGACGAGGAGCAGCTCCCCGCACCAGAGTCTTCGGAGACGGAGGAACCGCATACAGAGCCAGGTATCCTCACTCCTGTCCACCTTTAATAGGAACTTGTTTACTACAGCATGCGACTGAGTCATCAATTATGTTTATGTGAACCTCTTTCCAGAAGGTGAAGTTGTGGAAGATTACACAGAGCCAATTGAAGTGGAAGCGACAGAGGTGAGCTTCAAATTTTCCTTCTGGCCCTTGCTTCTTTGAAATTATTATTTGTATACATCTTGGTGGTGTGAGTCATGCTTACAACTTTGTTTTGTAGTTTGTAAACAGACAGTTCATTCCAGAAGCCACCTACAGCAACACTGACAAAGAGCAAGGAGAGGAGTGGAATACAGAATCAGAAGTATGTGTCAATAAAATAACCAGTATGACAGCAGTTTAATGCATCCAGTCCAGAATTTCCCAGCCCGGTCCTCGGGGTCCCACAGACGGTCCACGTCTTTGCTCCTTCCCAGCTCCCTGTCACAGTCCACATTTTGCTACTGGGAGCAAAAACATGGACAGTCTATGGGTCCCCAAGGTCTGGATTGGGAAACACTGGTTAATGTATTAAACCATATGATTTTGTTGTATGTTGAATGCTATGTAAATGATCCATTTTCCGTAGATGCAAGAATTAACACACGTGGTTATGAATGCAATAAAAAAATTAAAAAAATAAATAATAATCCTTTGTTCTGCAGGCAGTCAGTGCTCTGCAGCAGCCCCCCCCTGTACCTACAGCCCCTTCCCCCGCCGTACCTGACGTACATCCCCTCGCCCCAGTGACTCCTGTGGCCCCCGTGCCCTCAGCTGACCCTGGGGTCAGGAAGCAGGCTGTGCAAGACCTCATGGCACAGATGCAAGGGCCCTACAACTTCATGCAGGTGAGAGGTTGCCCCTGAGCCCACAACCGCCCGACCCCATCTTTGTCCCCTGTGAAGTCGCTCTAATAGTGCTCTGTGGATTCAAATCCCTCAGGACTCGATGCTGGAGTTCGATAGTCAGACCATAGATCCTGCGATTGTGTCGGCACAGCCCTTAAAGCCCAGCATGGAGCTGCCTCAGATGGTGTGTCCGCCTGGTAAGTGCCGTTTCATCTGACATCTGCTGCAGCGTGTTGGACATGCTGTGTGTATTTCGGACTCTTGTATAGCATTGTGTGTGTGACCCACCCCCTCCACCAATGTTTTACAGTACATCAAGACTCCCGACTTGCACAACCCAACACAGTTCCTGTACAGCCAGAACCAACACAAGTAAGTCTTCCCTGTTCTTCAGTTATGAAGGATCTAGTGTTCTTTTCTGTATGTAGTGACATCCACTGGCATGGAAGCTTTTATCTGAGTTAGGTGTCTTGGATTTGCCCCCCCCCCCCACCCACCCAGGTCCCAATGGTTTCCCCCACACCTGAAGCATTTTCCACAACACCACCCCTCTACCAATCCGCACACCCAACAGACCCCCGACCACCAACAGATGCTATTGACCCCCTCCAGGTACTGTGTGTGTGTGTGTGTGTGTGTGTGTGTGTGGCCACTCCCCTCCCGATCCATGTTTCCTCTGACTGATCAGTTTTGTCCTCCAAATGTCTGTGTGACTCACTTTCCTGAAACATGAGTAACCTCCTGATGACCCTAACCCCACCTCCGCTCCCCTTCCGCCAGGCCTCCATGTCTCTCTCGTCCGAGCCGTCGCCCCCCACGTCCCTTCCGGCCGCCTCGCAGCCCCAGGTGTTCCAGCCAGTCTCGAAACCCCTCCACAGCAGCGGCATCAACGTCAATGCAGCCCCATTCCAGTCTATGCAGACAGTAGGCGTCCTGACCCGACCCCAGTCATGTGATCATGATTGACTTCACTGTCCATGCACCCTGCCTTTGATCTCAATGTGCTTTAAAGGGGAATGCCACCCAAAAATTAGTTTTGCTTCATTGTGCTTTATTTAAAGTGTGCTGTGCATGCCTAGAGCTAGTAACTTTCATTATGACATTACCATAGATGTTGCTATTGAAATTGTATAAAGTGCATGCTGTGCCTCTATAAATGTTGGGCAGATAATCCATCAAGTATCACGGTTGGCTTGGGCCTTTTTGTTTTCTGTCACCAAGGGAAAGTAGTGGCACTGTGGTGTATCTGGATAACTGCGTGAAATGTTTCTAACAAAAATACTTTGAAGATTTGTGGGTTTGAAATCTGTGTGGAATATAACCCCTTTACAACATGTAACTAGACCTTGTATGGTGCGATTATCCTTTGTAAGTCTTCTTAGTCATAAATGTCTTAAACCTGCTTGGTCAGCAATATTTTTCACGAGTTCCTTGTCCTTCCCTGAAGGTGTTCAACCTCAATGCCCCCGTGCCCCCAGCCAATGAGACGGAGGCACTGAAACAGCAAAGTCAGTACCCAAGTGGCTACAGCCCAGGCTTCAGTGGGCCGGTCCAGCACGCTGTGGAGCAGTCGGAGATGCAGCCGGAGTCTTTGCAGTCCGGTAAGGAAACGGGCCGGCGACTCTGAATAAGGTGCTGGTCGGGAGAGGCAGGGCGGCCACCTCTGTGTGGGGCCCTATGATCGGCAAATCGCCGCTTCAAGCCCCCACCTTGGCAGAATAGTCCCCTGGGACCTTCAGTAAGGTCCCCTCGTCCCCCAGCTCCGGGGGTGCTGTATGCTGGCTGAGCTTGCGCCGTATCCCCCGAGCTCATTCTCTCCCGTCTATGTGACTCATGGAGGCCAGGATGGTGTAGGCAGAGTGTTTTCCCCACGGGGATTAGTATGGTAAACTATCATTATTGTATTCTATAGAGTGGTTTGTGATGGGTTCACACGGCTGGTGCTGGTATCAAATGGCCAGCGTTACCGGGAAGGCTGGTAAGGGTGCACTGCAGAGCTGGGAAGCCTGTTCTCTGGGGAGTGACACTGCTGCAGTGTCGATGGGACCAGTGGCCTGTGCGGGGCTGCCTTGGGGCTGTCACTGCGTCAGCATGGGCTTGGGGAATCCGCATCTCTTTGGCTGCTGCTTGTGCCCTGAGAGGCAACTCTTCCTTGTTGCTTGTTTTAACAATGTGTGATTTTGTAAAATGATCTTATTTGGGGATACATTTGGAAGCAAGCATTTGAAATTTATCCTGTTAGAACAGGGGCGGACAATCTTATCCAGAATGGGCTGTTGTGTTTGTGGGTTTTCGCTGCAACTCCCTAATTAGATTACTAATTAGAGGACTGATTGGCTGAAGAGTCCTCCCACCTGGGTTTGAACAGCTGACCTAAAGATTATCCCAAAAACCTGAATACACACCAGCCCTTTGCGGATAAAATTGCCCATGTGTTAGAGCACATTGTACCAGGTTCATATGGCTTATCCCCTGTAATGGTGATTTACAGTTGGTATGTAGGCATGTTCTATGTAATATCCATCCATGACAACGTATCCTAATCAGGGTCTCTGTGCTGCCTGGAGCCCAGCCCGGGCACATGGCACGAGGCTGCAATGTACTGTGGATGGGATGCCAATCCAGGCAGTGCACAAAGTCCTACAATATGTGCAATTTAGAGATGCCAGTTAACCTAACTGCAGGTGTCCGAACTGTGGGAGGAAACTGTAGTGTGAACACACACACACACACACACACACACACACACACACACAGTGGTGGTGGGATGCAAAGCACCAACCCTGGAAATAAACTATTGAGACCTTCGATACATTACATGCATTAGACCAGTGAGTGTGCCATATCAGTGAAGCAGCATTGTGTGTGTGTGTGCGTGTGTGTGTGTGTGTGATTACAACCCATCTGAATTTGTTTGCTTTATGCTTGAGATGGCTTTCATTTGCATTAAAGGATCTTGCCGGATAGATGGAACACAGGAATACAGTTACGCTTTTCAGGCCAGTTTGTAACATTTACTAAGTTGAATTCCATGTGTTGTTGGATCAGTTATTCTAAATACAGGCTCCGCTCCACACTGGAGTGCTTTAGTTCATGCTGAAAGCATTTTCCAGGATTTAATTGTGTAGTAGCTCTGCTGAACTTCAGTGCAAATGCTGCACACACCCATGTAATAAATAAAATCTTCTGTAATCTTACAGTAGTATTGTAGAAATAATTATGCTTTACATTGTAACTGTGCTGTTGTCCCTTTGTCTCTTCCAACCTACCCAGTTGTTGGTGCCTTCCACACCCAAGACCAAACCCTTTCCAGCGTGGGGGGCCACCAGCCCCCGCAGCAGGGCACAGGCTTCAGCAGGGCGGGACAGTCCTTCTATAACAGCCGGGCCATACCTCGTGGCGTGCCCAGGAACTCCCGGGGGATGCTCAATGGCTATAGGGGTCCATCTAACGGCTTCAGAGGTATGGAGGCCTGTGATGAGCCTGACTTCTGCTGCGCCTTGTGCGGTCGTGGAGTTTTGCCATTGATGCTTGGGTTTCTTCTTTTTACCAGGTGGATATGACGGGTACAGGCCTCCTTTCTCCAACACTCCCAGCAGCGGCTACGGACAGCCGCAGTTCAGCACGCCGCGCGATTACTCCAGCAGCAGCTATCAGCGGGTAACATCTGTGTGTCGCGGCGCTAATGCTACCTAATGTTGATCCGATTTGTAGTTCATCGGCTTGACTTGTGCAATATACACTACCAGTTGTACATATATTTTCTACATGTGCATGTTACTCACTTAATATATACTAAAAATGCACTCAGTACTTTGCTAACAAATGAATTTACAGTATGTTCACCATTTGACACTTTTACTTTTAGTAGCAAGAAACTTTTCTTTGATTCATCACAGTAACCTCCTCTAGCAGTTATAACAGCAGAGTGAATTCGATGCATTCTTTCTACAAGGGACATTAACCATTGCTCTGTTCCATGGGATGAAAGTTAACTAATGCATTTAAAGTTAGACAGCCGAGAATTTGACGCTGCCATCCCCACACAACCAGTTAATGATGCCAGACACGCACTGTTGCATGCTCCCATGTTATAAGGGAAACTGACTGACATATTCATTTATAGTTGTTCATTCAGCTTTGCAATGGTTAGCAAGAAAAAAAATCAGCAGTATATTGATTGGTTTTATTTAAAGTGGGTAATACAACTATCTTTTATATATGGGATTTTCAAAATTCGATTGACATTTTGGCTGTCATGTCTGTTCTTCCTGGTTTTACCAAAAATTGGAGCACAATGCAAGCTGTTCAGCACAGTGCTGCTTGTTTACTGTGCGTTGTCCTGCTTGGGGGGGCTCAGGGTCAGTGAAATGATTTCTGGTCGGATGATTTCTGGTTTCTGAAGCTCTGTCTGACAGTGTTCTGCTCGCTGACTTGATGTGTCCGTTTCCTCAGGATGGATACCAGCAGAACTACAAGCGTGGTGCCGGACAGGGACCTCGAGGTTGTTCTCGAGGTAATGCCCAAGTGATGCGTTCCTAAGCGGCTTGCAGTCTGACATCTTAGGCCACGCTGAACATTTTCGAAATATAAAATGCGTTTGCCCTTGCCCACATTTTGACCTTTTCTGTTTTTCATCAATCCCCTCCCCCTGGATTTTGAAGAGCCTGGTTTTGATGATATTAATCTTAAGTTTTAATGAGTCAAAACACATGCCAAGCTGAAATGATCAGTGCTATGATTTTAAGCAAGCCTGTGTTTGAGGGATATTCCTGTGAACTTGAAAGATTTTCATTAATTTATTTTTTTGTATAAAATGAACCAACCTGCCACTGCTGGTCCAATCCTGGGAGCACTTTTTCCCCTCTTCCTCCGATCGCCCAGTTTATTTTGGTTATTCAGCTTTTAATTTTGGCTCTTAAAAGCATTTTTGTTACATTTTTAATCTCCCAGTTCAGTTTGTAAATTGATGTTGCTTCTTGAGAGAACGTTTCAATAAAGATGTGTTGCATTACCTGCTGTCTGCTGCTAGTTTCTTTTCATTGTCCTTGTTCCTCACTTTGGGGACCCACCCCCATGTCTGGCTGTTTGCTGCTTTGTTTGGCGGGTGGGGGAGGCCAAGGCTTTGCTAGAGCAGGAGTCGTCTGCTTTCACGTTGCTGCTTTCTTGCCCTTTACTCCGGCAGGGCGTGAAGTTGTCACTCTTGCCCAAGGATCATGTCCCATTTTGGGGAAACTTTGGGATTTGGCATTAGCGGAGTCCTTTTAAGGGGGGCAGGATTTTAATTCCTTGGGCAACAGAACAGTACACGCCTACTCCCCACTCCCCCCCTCCATCTTTGCTCTGTGACGTGCACAATTTTACACGACTTTCCTGCTTGAACCTAAACTTCATGCTCTAGCTATTCAAAATGCACTAATCGGAGGCCCATACAAAATGTTTGTTCTGTTTTGCTACTTGAGGTACAAATACATCTTTAATATGAACCTCCACCCAACTCTCCAAAATCTTGACTTGGAGGTGCGTTCTGACTGATCAATACACCCTAATGCTCACGGTCAGGATTCTATCACGATTCTACCGCGTTATTGTTGCATTCAAAATAAGTTGATATAATGGCATAACTAGATTCCTAATTAAGTCCTAATTGTACACCTGCTCAGATTTATACTGATATTGCATGCTTGCTTTCTCAGCTCTCAAGTACAGGCACAGAAACAGTTTACTTTTGTATTTGAATTTGACCTGTAAACTAGCTTTGCAGCAAAACCATAAAGTGCACCCCCCACCCCAAGAGAGGCATCTCTTCTGCTGGGTCAGTTCTAGAGCTATGTAACACTGGTCCTCAAGTTTCATAGGGTTAAGTAATGAAGCCCAACCATACAACTGCAACCTGTATAGATTGTAGTGGTATGTATCCATGGTTCACTTCAAATGAGTATGGATACTTGAACCCTTGTACCAGAAAAATCAGCACAGTGGACTAAACAGTCTGCAACCAACCTTCTTGCTGTTGAGTACTTTTGTGGATTTTTCGCCAGTAATACTGGGCCAGGCATTGATATCTTGTCTGTGTTTGGGTTCCAGGTCGTGGGACACCATTCAAACCCGGCAGAGGGGTACCTCATGTGACTGCGCAACAGGCCAACTAACCCGGACTCCAGCATGAACCCCAGAGACGTCTGAATACCCTCCCCCACCCCCAACAATATTCCCACCTCTGACACGTGTGTCTTCCTCAGCAAACCCTGCCCTTCTGGTCTTTACACATCGCTTTTGGAAGCTGAAATCGTGCTCGACTGGAGAGGAAATCGACCTACAATAGACATTTTCAAGGAGGGGCGGTTTAGTCTTTGAAGCCAAATCACCCTTAGTTTTCCTTCAATCCAAACCTTTATTGCTATCCTGTGGTATTAGCCTTAAACACACCAATCAAGCAGGAGAATGTGCTTTTGCTGATGACTTGTAATTTTGGGGATTGCCTGGACCAGAGAATGAAGATCATCATAGGTGTGATGTAATTAGGGTATTGAGGCCAAAGGTCACTTTAGGCCAGCATGCCACCCACTCTGATTTTGCTGCTTTCTCAGATGGAAGTATTTCTGTCAGGTCTCTCCGTCCCTTCTAACTCTGTGATGTGCTGATCCTGTGGACAAACGTTTACTGCACACAAAATTAGATTTGCTTGTACCATTACAGGAACTTTTACTGTGAAGAATCTCTACCAATTACAGCTCAATGAGTCACAATATGAAAGACTATAGCGCAGTTTTTCCCCCCGGCACACTGCAGGTTGTATGCTCTATGATACAGGAAGTGAGGCACTTTAAAGAAGATCACATCTTTCAACAAAATTCACCATTAGGCGAACTCTTTAGCACATAATTTTACAGACTTTTGCACTGAAGAAACCCTCTGTTTGTGTAGTAATTTGTGGTCTCCTGCTATAGAATGAAAATGGGGCCTGTAGGTTTTTTGTTCCAGGAGGGACTGGTTTTCTTGGTGTAACCTCATGTACGCCATCCCCATGACTATACTCTGCTGGTTTGGAGAACTGCTACAGGTTGCATTGATATCCTTTCTACGACACTGTCAACAACAAACTATCATTTGTTTTTGTTATACATCAAAAGAAAGGATTAATATTTGGTATTTTATTTCTACTGAGGTGTCTACTCTGTTTTTAAAGTAGAATCAATTAACAGGGTCTGAATGATTCAGCCATTATGAATATTGGCCTAGTTTATCCCAATAAAATGAAGTTTCCCTCTAACATGTAAAAGTCACCATTTCTCTCCAATGACATGCGATCAATAAAAAAAAATAGGTAGTTGAGGGGAAAATGGAAAAATTGGAGCAGAACTGGAATTTCTTTGCTCTGTGTTTCCCCTACATGTGTCTCCATCACTGTGTCTTTGAAGAAAAGGGAACAACGAACTGTAATTACTTCATCTGTGCCTGCTTAACGTTTTGGCTTTAATTGTGTATCAAGGTCTATCTGTGGTCCTTCAAATAAGGACAACTGGGAAAAATTTAAATATACAATACTGTATTTTCTTTTTATTTTGATGTAAACAACAGGTGACATTTTTTCTTTCCCATGACAAAAAGTACTGAGCTCAAAGTAAAATTACACTGAAAACGGTAAAACGGGAAGCTCTTGAATTCATAACATGATTGCTACAAGTGTGTTGACCTGGTTCTAATAGCACAAATGCCAGATAATGTATTATCACAGAACTGAGGAAATTGTTACCCAGTTACATATATGTGTGTGCTTCAGATTGTGCATTGTAGGGTAATCCTTAACTGGTGATTCCACCTTTGGTGACCTCGCAGTTTCCACTTCTGTAACTCCTGTTCGCTCTGTTTGGGGAATCCTTATGAATGCTGGTGTTTGGAGAGGACAAATAGATTTAATCTGTCTTCTGGTGTTAACAAAAATAAAAGTGTTTTGTACAATACATGGTATGTACCACAAAACATTAAATATAAAGCACCCCTTGATGAGGAATTCTACAACAAGAAATCTAGGAAGCTGAAGAGGCAGATGTCACCATTTATTTTATATTGTACAATTTAAATGTACGATTTCAGGTATTTAAGTAAAGTATTATTAGGAGAGAGAGAGAGCTCAGGTTAGTCAAATTTAAAACTACAGCCGTGGCTAAAAGTTTTGAGAATGACAAATATTAATTTTCACAAAATCTGCTGCCTCAGTATTTATAATGGCAATTTGCATATACTCCAGAATGTTATAAAGAGTGATCGGATGAATTGCAATTAATTGTAAAGTCCCTCTTTGCCATGAAAATGAACTTAATCCCAAAAACCCATTTCCACTGCATTTCAGCCCTGCCACAAAAGGGCCTGCTGACATCATTTCAGAGATTCTCTCGTTAACACAGGTGAGAGTGTTGACGAGGACAAGGCTGGAGATCACTCTGTCATGCTGATTGAGTTAGAATAGCAGACTGGATGCTTTAAAAGGAGGGTGGTGCTTGAAATCATTGTTCTTCCTCTGTTAACCATGGTTACCTGCAAGGAAACACTTGCAGTCAACATTGTGGTGCACAAACAAGGTCTTCATGGGCAAGGATACTGCTGCTAATAAGATTGCATCTAAATCAACCATTTATCAGGTCATCAAGGACTTAAAGGAGAGAGGTGGCCTGGTGTCAAGGGCAGCAAATAAGCCACTTCTCTCCAAAAAAACATCAGGGGCAGACTGATATTCTGCAGAAGATACTGGGATTGGACTGCTGAGGACTGGGGTAAAGTCATTTTCTCTGATGAATCCTCTGTCTGGTTGTTTGGGGCATCCAGAAAAAAAGATTGTCTGGAGAAGAAAAGGTGAGCTCTATCATCAGTCCTGTGTCCTGCCAACAGTAAAGGATCCTGAGACCATTCATGTGTGGGGTTGCTTCTCAGCCAATGGAGTGGGCTCACTCACAATTTTACCTCGGAACACATCCATGAATAAAGAATGGTACCAAAACATCCTCCGAGAGCAATTTCTCCCAACCATCCAAGGACAGTTTGGTGATGAACAAGGCCTTTTCCAGCATGATGGAGCACTACCATAAGGCATAAGTGATAACTAAGTGGCTCAGGGGAACAAAACATTGACATTTTGGGTCCGTGGCCAGGAAACTGCCCTGACCTTAACTTGTGGTCAATCCTCAAGAGGTGGGAGGACATTCAAAAACTCACACACCCATGATTAAACAAGGATGGAGTCCTCAGCATTGGGCCCAGAAGTTGACTGACAGCATGCCAGGGTGAACTGCAGAGGTCTTGAAAAAGGGCCAACACTACAAATATTGACTCTTTGCATAAACTTAATTGTCAATAAATGCCTTTGACACTTATGAAATGCTTGTTATTATACTGCAATAGACAATAAATAATCTGACAAAATGATCTAACTACACTGAAGCAGCAGACTTAGAGAAAACCAATATATGTGTCATTCTCAAAACTTTTGACCACAACTGTACATTACCAGACAACATTCACTCATATACATCCCAGAAAATAAGATTTTATTGTTGTTTATTTTTGCTACAAATCAACTGAGCTAGTTTTTTTATTATTATTTCCAGCCCTGGTGCTACATTTCTATTCGAAGACAAACTTTTCGTCGCGCACTACCTCTCTGTTGATCCACGCCTATGCACGACACATGGATTAAAGTTATTGAACAGAATGAGCACGTTTATAAAACAGATGTAAAATAGGTCCGTGTGTGATTTTGTTAAGTAGTCTGATTAGTAATTGTAAAATAAATTAGAGTTTATTTCGAAGAATATGTGAAAGACATGGTCGCTTTTATTCAGGCATTCGCTCAGGGCAGGGCGCTTGGGTCCTTTTTTATTTTGGGGTCCTGTTAGTGACTTCGTTCCACGTGAATCTCAATCCGAATACCTTGCTGTAGTATAGTGAAGTAGAATACTGTTATAAAGTTGATCAGAACTGTTTGTTTGTAATCTGGAAACCTTCAGAGTAAATATTTAAGCATTCCTTCATAGATGAAACTCGCATAGTAAGATTTATTCGTCTTTGCAGGGTAAGTACCGTATAGTGCGACTTTCTAGTTATAGAGTAACTGTATCAAGCAAAGGTGAATGTAGCATTCTAATGTAAGGTAGTCCAGCTCCTCGTAACACAAACTGCTTAATTAGTTGCTCACTGTGTGTGGTGTTCCTATAATTATCCTTTTCGCTGGTAATGACTGCATACCATCTATCACTGCTGTTATCTAGATTCCTACGTTGCTGGACTAGACCGTACTGCTAGTAAGTGTTCTTTGCGGCTTACCAATATTCCATGTGCCCTGGTGTTAGGTACCATGTCAACGTTCCGGAAAAAAGTAGACAATCGGATCCGTGTTCAGATCGAGAATGGCATGCTGCAGCAGCATCGTACCTTATTTGTTGTAGTGGGAGATCATGGAAGAGACCAGGTAATGTATAAATAATGATAACCTTCATCCAGAGGACACTGCCTTATGTCATTTAATTAAAAGATCTATTGGTAAAATTTCCTTGTCAAATAGAATTCAACAGTTCAGCGTTCGACAGTCATTTTGGAAAACTGGTGCCACCATGCTGAGCTTATACTTCAGAATCAGCTTTTATTCGCCAAGTGTGCTGGGGCACACAAGGAATTTGTTTCCGGCAGCTTGTGTATTTTTTTCTACTCAGGTGGTCATTCTTCATCACATGCTCTCTAAAGCCACAGTAAAAGCCAGACCATCCGTGCTGTGGTGCTACAAAAAAGAACTGGGATTCAGCAGGTTGGTTTACCTGGTGCTAGAACATTTAGGATTGTCATTCCATTTGCTGTGTTTTTGTTTAAGGCTTTGTTTAATATTTTAGATAAACCTTGTTTGGCTGTGATGTTATTTCCCCCCTTGATTGCTCTGAAGAGCACAACATACACTTTTGATAATGTTTATTTGTACCAATTGTGATTCTATGCTAATTTTAATTGCATAACGTATTATTATTTGTTTAATCATTTAATAATATATTTTCTGACTCCAAATTTCAATTGCCCGTGATCAGTCATCGTAAGAAACGGATGCGCCAGCTGCAGAAGAAGATTAAGACGGGAACTCTGAACCTGAAGGAAGATGACCCCTTTGAGCTGTTCATTGCCGCCACAAATATTCGCTACTGCTACTACAATGAGACCCACAAGATCCTGGGAAACACATATGGCATGTGTATCCTCCAGGTGACTGTATATATATAGCGTACTTTTAATAACATCCATAGGTTCTTAGTGGTTATAAATGTTCATTTTCTGTTTGTGTGGATTTATTTATACAGGACTTTGAAGCCCTGACTCCTAATCTCCTGGCACGTACTATTGAGACCGTTGAAGGGGGGGGACTCGTTGTCATTCTGCTCCGGACCATGAACTCCCTCAAACAGCTTTACGCTATGACAATGGTAAGCCTGTGGTCTTGTTTGGTGGTGCAGAACTCATAGGTGGAACATCTAGTCTGAAGTCCCACTTCCCCTGTTGTTTCTCCTGTCTGTCAGGATGTACACTCTCGCTATAGGACTGAAGCACACCAAGACGTGGTTGGAAGGTTCAATGAAAGGTGAGAGAGTCTTGTATAGTGTAAGCTTATGAAATCTGCTAAATAACCTGCCATTTAAATAACTGGTATAAAAACATCCATCCGTTTTGCATGCCTGTTTCTGCTATGCTGGATCAGCATATCAAGTGCAAATGCTTGACCCTGTTCGAGGGTGTGTACCTGAACACACTCTTCTAGATGTTGCTCTTTAATCAGAAATTCATGTTTTAACTGAGACGTTAAGGTACTTAAGATGTCCGTGACGTAATGGTGCATGTCAGTACAACACAGTAGAACTTTGTGTGTCTGGTACAGTTCTGTTGTATGTTCATACACAGGACGTTGATACACACTCAGGGTGGTTTTCCACCACCCTTGGTACCATACTTTTGGTACTTTGCTTTTTCCATTGACTTCTGGCCGAATACCAGTACAAAATGTTCCAGTACGTTTTTGGTTCTTTTTTCAGTTCTTTGGGGACTTGCAAACGCTTTCTTTGTCGATTTGATTGTGCAGATGGTCTGCCTCTAAACATAATACAACTGCCATCTTGTTACAAGCAAATTATAAAATCAGAAACCAACAATAAACAAAGTTAAAAAAAAAAAAAAAAAGTAAAATAATAATAGTGGATGTTCAGACAAATAAAGAGTCTCGCCTTCAGTTATCACTTTAGTTGGTACGTCCAGAGATGCTGGAACCGCCATGTCTAGCAGCCCAATAACAGTTCATTCAAAATCTCTTTGATAAGGAATCTTAGCCATTCAAATGCTAAGATTAAAAGTGAGTGGACCTCTTGACCCTGTCTGCATGTTGTATGCATTCAGAAGCAGTCACACGATTGGCTGTTATGATGGGTAAGGGGCCAGCAAAATTCATGGGAAGCTTGCGCCCCCACCCCCCCAGCTTGGTAGAAATATACCGGGCGAGACCCCAAAGTTCAGGGTCAAGCTATATATACTTTTTTTTTTAATCCTGGGTCCAGCCTTAATGTACGCTGAGAGGAATCTGCAATGTGGGCGTACATTGTGCACAGCGTAGTGTTATATTCAGTGATTAGACCTCAAATGACATTAAGAGTTCAGTAATTGTGGATATTTAGGTGTAAGTGGAATAATATGTATGTGTTACAATACGTTTACAGTATATTTGCATATATCCCATATTTACATACATACAGTTATGTGAAAAAATTAGGACACCCATTAAATATTTAGTACTTGATTAAGAAATATCAACATATCAATATTAAATCTTGTTTCAAATTATATTTGTAGATAAAGGTGATTTAATTGCATGACCGATGAAAAAACAAGAAACAAATTCACTTGTTTCACAAAAGAAATTAACTAAGATGCCAATACCTACTGAGG